GTGTGTGTGTGTGTGTGTGTGTGGTAACATAAGCAGTATCTAATCAAAGTCATTGAAATTTGCAGGGATCGTGATATAAGCGCTCGAAGAAGTGCGGAAAATCTTATTAGAATTATCCTTGGTATCAATGAAGAAGACAGGGTATCCGTTGAAGAGGTAAAAAATGTTTAATTTTTGCAAGAAAGGAATTTTAAAGATTTAGCAGCCATCATAAAACAAGTAAAAAGTATTCATTTATAACTTTACAATCACTGGATATAGAGCGGTGATCTTATGCTCAAATAAAAATTGAATTATAGCTCCAGAAAACAGCGCGTTGTGAATCTGAAATTTTGTGCTTTTTATATTATGAATGAATCAAAAAACCTTCATGGAGCACTATAAATCCAGAAGTTTTATATTTTTTCGCATTTTTGCGCCTAGGGCATGTAAGATTTTTTTTAAAAAAAACGCAACCCACTGGTGCGTTCCGCTTTTTCATTTTTTACAGCCTTTTGCTCTGAGAGGGAAATAGGCGTTGGAAAGGCGAACCATGTAGTTTAGAACTAGTTGGACCAGGCATGGTACTCCAGGCACGCAGTTGTATCCCCAAATCGCCATAAGCTAAAACTTCACTGAGACCGGTCGAGCATAATAAGGCACTCGGCCTTGGCAACTTTTTTGCTTACGTCGACCTTTTTTCCTCATAAAATTCGAAGACTAAGTTGTTGAATCGAAGTACGGCGTGCACTAATGAACAAATCATAAAGCGACCTGTGTTTCATCCCTTAGCTGTAAACACAAAAAAATTGTGGTTGATTTTTATGTCCTTTAATTTATGCTTCATCAGAGTATTCCCTAATTCAGTATTGTTCTTCTCGCAGGTTCTTTGTTTGATGGTTCGTCAGCATCGATGGGATGTCGACTTGCTCGATATATTATCGGCTGTTGTTTTCGAAACACAGGGTCCATCCCGTATCGCTGCTTTGCGCTTGTTTTCTATTGTTTGCAGGTATGTCGACATTTTAGTTCTTTTTTGGGGGTTATAAATCGATGAACAATTCTCTCAGAGGTTGAAAGTGGCCAGTGCCCAATCTTGGGAGTTTCTTTCGATTAAGTCATATACGTCTTAACTCAGCACTGCTGTAGGACCACGTCAGTATGACGGTCACACTGTTTAATGGAAAAAAGATGGCCAACGCACGGGCTGCCCGTGCGAAGATGCGTTTTTTGCAGAGTTCCCCGCAGTTTTTGTTG